CGCGTTTAAATTTGTATAAAACTAAATAGAAAATATAAAAGAAAATCGCTATATATTTGTATCTATCTATAACGCAAAAGCATAAATTTGATTACAATGTTAAGCGCAGGCCGAATGTAAAAACTTGGGGGCCAGCGCTCACACGCGAAGCGCGTCAGAGCGTTGACGGCAGCGTCGACGTCAACGTCGGCGTTGACGCAGCGGCCCGCATTGTGTATAATAAAATTTGCGAAAAAAAACGGCGGAATGAATTGAGCCAGGCAGCGACGCTGACGCTGACGCCGAGGCTGATGCCAGTAAAGATGTGCGCGCACAATACAAAAATTACAAAGCATACTTTTGGGAGCGGCAAATGGTCAAAATCAACAGCAGCGGCAGCAGCAGCCAGCAGAAGCAGCAGCAGCAGTACCATCAGCCAGCAGCAGCAACAACAATGTCAACGCTACAACGGACGCTGAGCGTGCACAACTAAGCTACTTAGTGGTGGGAGTTAAGCATACAAACCGACTGAGAGAGAGAGAGAGACAGAGAGAGCGAGTTTGGGAGAGCGAAAGCACGAGTGCCTGCCCCGCAACGGAAGACCCATGTAAGTGGTGAGAGCAAGAGCACTGCTTGCGTATGTGAGAGTTAAAGCGATGCTGTCGTGTAATAATGTGTGAGAGCTAGACCGATGTTTGCGTGTGCCTGTGCGTGTATGTGAGTGTGTGTGTGCGTGGCAGCGTCGTTTTGCTGTTGCTGTTTCCAGTGCTCTCGTTTTGATTAAACTTGCGAATAGTAGGTCGGATCGGGTCGGTGGGGCGCGGCAAACAGTTCGCAATATGCTTAGCATTGGGCCTGCCACGAGCATAAGGTGTAAGCAACCAGCAGCAGGCAGCAGCCAGCAACCAGCAGCACAGCGATTCAATTTCCGCCAGCAGGCAAAGGCCAGCGCCAGAGAGCCAGCAATTAAACTCGCGCAAAGAAATTAACATAAAAGCTAAGCAGCAGCAGCAAACGCACAAAAGTCGGCAGCTAGTTTTTTTTTTCTATTTTTTTTGTTGTTGCTTAAAAGCTTAAGATCCCAGTGGGCGGTTATGTGTGCGTGTGTGTTTGTGCCAGTAGGACTCTAGCAGGCTTCTATGTGTGTGTGTTGAGCTGACAGTGCCCGCATTAAATGTAAAATAAAATTCTACATAAAATTGTATTGTAAAATTCTAGATGAAATAAGGGCAGCTGCTGATGAGCTGATCAAACTTGAAAACGCGTGTGTGTGTGTGTGAATTGGTTTCTGTGTGTGTGCGGCTGTCATAAAAATAGCCTAATAAATTGGCAAAAGAAATGCCGCGCATAGCCGCAGGTTGCTCGCGCGTATGTGTGTGTGTGTGCGTGTGTGTGTTTGTGTTGGTATGTTCATAATAAATCCATAAATCCTTTTTTACGGGCGCGGCAGCCAATTCGATTATTTGCCAAGAATCGACGGCCAACAAATTTGAATGTTAAGCTAAGCCGACAGTTGGCCAAGATTGGCCTTGCCCAACATAAGCTGACGTGGCCAGGAGGTTAGGCGGGTTAGCCAGGCAAATACACAGACACAAGCACACACGCACAAATACACACACAAAAGCAGGAAGCGACAGCGGCTACAAGAATTTGTTTTCATTTTGTTGTTCTTGTTATTTTGGCCAATTACTATTCTTGCTGTTGTTGTTGTTGTTGTTGTTGGCATTTGTTGGGCTCCGATTTATGGCGCTCTACATTTGGCTGTTTGTTTATTGGGCACTCCCCGCACGCCTCGAGCGACCCCCCCGCTTTGATTTATGCGCATGTTTGTGCCAGACTACAATTGAGATAAATATTCGGATTTGTGATTGATTTATTAACTGGCTCCTGTCTAATTGGCCGACGATTTGTTGCGACTTGCTCAAAAAACAAATTTGTGGGCTATTTCGGTTGCAAGTTCAATTTCATTCACAAAACACTTTGACAGGCATGTGGAAAGCTACAAGTTAAGCACTTGTCATATTTAAAAGCAGCTTTCTACATTTCTTGTGCTCGTTATTTAATTAACATTTTTAATTTAAGCACAACTTTGTGCTCATTCAATTATGGCGCTCGTTACATGTTATTAAAATGGCTTTTCCCTTTTTGCATACTTTTTGAATACTTTTTCTGTCATTTCATTTTTCCGAGCAGCTCTGACATTAGCTTTGGCTAATGCAAAAGTTCAGCTCTTGTTGGAAAAAATGTTGTGGATAAAAGTTAACACAATGTTGGGCATACTTTTAGCTGCAAATTTAAACAGAATTCAGCTAATGAAATTGTTGAAAAGGATATTAAATACTTTTGCTAATGATGTTAAATGAAGTTGGTATCAACAAAATTTAAATATCTGCAGCAGATTCTCAGTAGTTAAATTTTAAATAACTCTCATTCCCAACAGTTCGATAAATATGTGTTTTATTTGCTGAATAAAAGATTTATGTTTATATTGTTTCAATCATTTTTTCTTACACTGTGCTCTTCGCTGTCCCACAAATTTTATGGGAATGGAATATTCAATTTAATTATCAATATATTATAGAAATTATTATCAAACAACCTCTTCGATTGGGTTTTCTACAATGTTTAACTTGTGTTTTAATGTTCTTCAAATTCAAATATTATATTTTAATTATGTGCCTATTGCAATATTGGCAAAGCTTTAGATAAACCCAACATTAGGTCCCCCATAAATATGCTATATGAAAATACAAAAAATCTATTTAAAACTGCATTTAAGTATTTTGAAGACTTTTCTCAGCGAGTCTAAGAGCTTTTAGTATACGACTTAGTGTACGGGGTTTTAAAAGTTTAATTTGCCTTAATATTTAACTAGCTAGTTGAACAAAGTTCTAAGCCCGTTGGGCGCGGCTTGCATTATTAACTGAATGGATAAGGCAGCTTACAAGTAAAAGTGCTCTAGCCAAAAGTGACTGAATAAGAGATATTCTGTACGTATACAAAACTAGTTTGTCTATATATGCACCTGCTACACCTGCTGCACCTGCTACACACGCACACAAACACACATTGACACATACGCTGTTTTATGCAGTCTCACCATATGAAAAGTTAATTCTTGAATAATATCTGCCTCAACTGTCCGATCTTCTTAAAACTTTGGGGGCAAACAGATAATCAGGACTATCTATTTGCTTTAAGGTAAAACGTGTAGAGTAGAATCAGGAGGAGAAGTCTTCGAACCGAATACCCTGTAATGCTCTTGTAAACAGCACAGTAGACGCATAAGGGGCTTATGCGTGGCAGAGTTAGTAAGACAACATTTCTGAGTAACTTGTTAGATTTCGCCTGTTATTTATATAAAAATAAATAATATTACTAACACCAATCAAAAGACTATTGTGTAAAAAATGAGTTCTCAGTTGCTTAAGTTTTTGCCGAAATTTGTAGTTAAATTAATAATTTTGATTTCTTGCTCAAACTGTTTTCGCTACTTCGAAGCCGCTAACAATAGAATTCTGATTGAACAATAATAAAATTTTGAAACCAAACAGATTGAAGCCTTGCCAGCTTAGTTCTAATAAAGCGTAAAAAGCATTTCGATTTAATATCCATGTGCATTTTCAGTGGCTGGCTAAAAGCTTTCCAATTATCAGTTAATTTAATTGTATTTATTGTCAGCATACACACACACACACAAGCACACACACACGCACGCATATGGGCAGAAATCTATTTTGGTCTCGGCTTAAAATCCCATAATTCAATTATAAACTTATGTTATTTATTTTGTTGCATTATTTTCCCACTCATTTTTCATGCTCAGACGCTGAAAAGCCTTTTGACACATTTTGAACGTGATTTGTGCTGCGGAAAAACATAACGCACGGACAATGCTCCATCATTGAGACATTCAGACAATGCTGAAATGCTGTCAATGCGGCAGAGAATAATGGTCCACAACTTGCAATGGACTCAATACGAATCAATCATGGCGCATATCATGTCAGATAAATCAGTGAGCGAGGCAACAGAAAAGTCCGCCTCGTACCATGCGGCGTATGCGTAACTTATTAAAAAACTTTCCAAATCAAAACACAATGTATAGACTGTATATCAGTGTGTGTTTGGGTGTGTCTCTGACTGTGTGTGTGTGTGTGTGTGTGTGTGTTTGTATGGGTGTATATATAGCCAATGACAACATCAATAGTTTTGAAAACTGTCAGAGGAAGCCGCCTTGAACATTTCCGTGCCAAAGTGTCTAGGGCGCGGGGGGTAGAAGGTGGTTGGGCTCGTATCGAGGAGCTGTTTCGAGTCGCCAGCCAAGTTTTTGCCTACACTGACTGTTGCATGTTGGCCCTTTGTTGGCTCAACACCAACACCAACCACAACAACAACAACAACAACAACAACAACAACAACAACAACAACAACAACAACAACAACAACAACAACAGCAGCAGCAGCAAGGCAAATAAAGCTAAGCGTGGGCGTGGCATGTTTATCTGTGACTGTGCTGTGACTGCCAAGGAAACGCATTCAAGCAGTTTTTCATTTACATTTTCATTAAAACAAATCACACAGAAAATGTCATTTGCAAAAAGGACAAAGCAAAGCAGCCGCAGGCGTCTTCTCCTTCTCTCTTTCTGTGTATGTGTGTGTGTGTGTGTGTGTGTCTTTCTTGTGCGGCTGGTGTTGGGGCTTCTGCTCGTATCAAAGGCCTGCGACAGCTCATAATTCTCTGGTTTTTATTGTATTTTTTGTTGCCTCTGCAGGGCCAGTGCAAAAATGCGCACTAGGAAGGCGCCAGCGCCAGCGCGTGGGTGCAACAAGGATAAGCAGCAGCTACAGCAGCAGCAGCAGGACAAACGCCTGGCACAGCCTGCCATTTAGGAATCACAGCCAAACGCGAACACAAGCAAATACTATATTGAATATATATATATATATGTGCTACGCAAATACTCAGCAGCAGTTGAAATCAAATCAAATCAAAGCAAATCAAATATCACGCATACGCCATGGAGCCAGTTATGAGTTTGGCCTTGGCCGCCCATGGGCCACCCAGCATACTGGAGCCGTTGTTTAAAACCGTAACTACGAGCACAACCACAACAACAACAACAACGGCTGCGACAACAAGCAGCAGCAGCAGCAGCCCCACAATTAGCCCCACAACCAGCACCACATTGTTAACGGCCCTGTTGGAGAATCTGACGTCAACGGCAGCGAGCGGCCTATACGATCCGTATGGGAATCAAACGAATGGCACATTGGGCTTTGAGACAAAGGGGCCGAGGTACTCGCTGGCCTCGATGGTGGTTATGGGCTTCGTAGCGGCGATTCTGAGCGCGGTAACAGTTGCTGGCAATGTCATGGTCATGATCTCGTTCAAGATCGATAAACAGCTGCAGACGATCAGCAATTATTTCCTCTTCTCGCTGGCAATTGCGGATTTTGCAATCGGTGCCATTTCGATGCCACTGTTTGCGGTCACCACCATACTGGGCTATTGGCCGCTGGGGCCGCATGTTTGCGACACCTGGCTGGCCCTCGACTATTTGGCCTCGAATGCCTCGGTGCTGAATTTGCTGATCATCAGCTTCGATCGTTATTTTAGTGTCACACGGCCGCTCACCTATCGCGCCAAGCGCACGACCAACAAGGCGGCCGTCATGATTGGCGCCGCCTGGGGCATCAGTTTGCTCCTCTGGCCGCCCTGGATCTACAGCTGGCCCTACATCGAGGGCAAGCGCACTGTGCCCAAGGACGAGTGCTATATACAGTTCATTGAGACGAATCAGTATATTACCTTTGGCACAGCGCTTGCGGCATTCTATTTTCCGGTGACCATCATGTGTTTTCTCTACTTTCGCATTTGGCGCGAGACGAAGAAACGCCAAAAAGATTTGCCAAATTTACAGGCGGGCAAAAAGGATTCCAGCAAGCGTTCCAATAGCAGGTGAGTCTTTTGTCCGTACTCTCAATATTTGTTGTTATCCACAATTATAATGTGTAAAACTCTATGCTTTTGTGGAAAGGTATATAGTACTATATACTTGATCAGGACTAAGATGTGGGTCGATCAATTCAAGTCCGTCTATATACATATACATATTCTCCTAAGCCAAACTAAGAATAGTTGGATATTTTTGCCGATATCCTTGCCCAATAACATTATTATCGCATTGCGGTTTATAAGCATTACTCGTTAACAAGATATAAGTTCTTGGTAGTATACACAGTAGTATACACAGAACTACATAGTTTCCTTTTCTCAAGCTAGGCGAGATAAATGTCTATCTTTAGATGAAGCAAGACTTATTTCTATCTCCCACTCGCCACATTTGCCTAACTGCTAGGTGAGACTCTTTCTTACATGTATGTCTCAAAACGTTTAACTATTTCTTACATTTATATTTCTATTTCAATCCTAATTCTAATCAGTATATCAAAAGTTTGCAAACGTACTACTTCCATTTAGGGAAGAGGACGGCAAGCGATTGATGGTGAATTTTATGAACAATAGGTCTCAATATTCACTTTATATTTTATTTGAAATTTTCTTTCTGACAATTTGATTTTGCTGTTTTCATTTCGCTATATACCGTATATTAGTTGCCTTAAATAATCAACATAATAATGAAGCAAAGAAATTGTATTTATTGCAAATGTCGTAAATATTCAATAGCATAGTTTTCGGCGCCTTTCGAAGTAAACAAACAAGCCAATATTAAACCGAATTTCCACTGAATTTTAGCGATGAAAACACCGTAGTGAATCACACAGCTGGCGGCTTGCTGGCCTTTGCCCAGCTGGGCGGCAATGATCATGACACCTGGCGACGACCGCGCTCCGAGAGCTCGGCGGATGCGGAAAGCGTGTACATGACCAACATGGTCATCGATTCGGGCTATCATGGGATGCATTCGCGCAAGTCAAGCGTAAGTTGAGCAAGCAGATGCATGCATTTTCCGGTCGTTTTACATATGTACTTATTGGTTTTTCTTTTGTTTTGTGCACATGCAGATCAAGAGCACCAATACAATCAAAAAGCCATATTCATGCTTTGGCAGCATCAAGGAGTGGTGCATCGCGTGGTGGCATTCGGGCCGCGAGGACTCCGACGATTTTGCCTACGAGCAGGAGGAGCCATCTGATTTAGGGTATGCAACACCAGTAACAATTGAAACTCCTTTACAAAGCTCCGTCTCCAGGTAGTACAAAAAAAGCAGCTCTCTTTTTAATCGTCTTATTCGAGTAAGCAAACACTGCACCCAGCCACACACACACACACACATCTACATACACACACATATATATATATATATACATAGCATACTTACACACACTCGCCTGCTTGCTATGTGTTGTGTGTGTGTGTGTGTGTGTGTATGTGTGTCAGTTTGTGTGTGCGTACGTGTGCCTTGCATGTGTGTGTGTGTGTCTCGCATCTCAAATGCACTCAGAGCACTTCATTCCAAACAAACAAAAAATCAACTCGATTCGTTTTTCAATGCCTGTCCCCAAGGGAAAAACAAAAAGAAAATAATTTCCATCACACAACGGTTTCATTCTGCACATGCACAGCCATCAATAGACGCACAGTGCACTCGAAAAGTATTCGCATCGTTCCACAGTTACACAGCTGAATGCACAGCCATGGGAAAACTCAATAGAGAATTGGAAACCTTTTCCGTTTCGTATGCTTAATTTGTGGCAGCTTTGCAAGCTTCAGTTTTTGTGATTTTAATTGGAGTTTGATTTGTCTTTGATTTGTTTTCAATCTGTTAAGACCCTATTTGCCAAACGTTATAAATAAATTAGTTGCCACTCAATGGCGATTCATAGTTGATTTATCTTTGTATATAATTGTGATGTGGGTATAATTTGATTTCCAGAAACTTATTTATTTACTCTTTAGATAAGTTCTAACATTTTTCTTGAATATAAAAATATGTTGGCGTTTTTGTGAGTTTAAACATGAGTTGCAAGGCATTTATTGAGTTGAGTTCCTTTAAAGAGAGAAGTTTTATCTTGTTTCTTCAACGTTTTAATTGTTTTCTTAGAATTAGCACATATAGCTTAACCAAAGCATTTTACATTTTGACAATTATAGTTTTAATACAAAACAATATACTATATATCTATCTGTAAAGATATTCTGTACATATTAAACTGTTTGTCCTGACTGACTGACTGCTTGATTTATTGGTGGAAAGTCATTTAAGACATGATTCATACTTTCTGTTTGGTAAGATTTTTGAGAGAATTTACTTGCCACGGGCAAGGCCAGGGTATCCCTGCTGGTAATATTAAATATATTTATTTCATTTTGAACTGTTATAAAAAATGCTTTATTTACAATAGTTCTGTAATTTAATAATTAACTGATTTTATTTCATTAAGAAATTTTTATTTATATATATTAACAATAGTTCTGTAATTTAGTTAAGAACTACATTTTGGCTTGCTTTAGTTCAATTTTGCCTTTTATGTAAGAAAATAACCTGAAAATTGATCACATTTCAGTTTCAAAGAGCAGCCAACGAAAAGCAATTTCAGTTTCCAAGTCTCTCGGCTGCTTTTCCATTTCTGTGCGTTAATCACCTGTGTGACGTGTTGTGTGTTTGTATGTGTGTGTATGTCTAGTTGTGGGTGTGTTTGGCCGATGGACGGGACAGTTTGCACCCGCGGCTCCATTTTGGTTGTTGTTTTTGTTGTTGTCGTAGCTTGTCAGCTGTAAGGCCTGTCAATGTCGAGCACCAGATGCCTCCACTGTGTGGAGGAGCTTTATTAAAGAGCGACATACCTTTGTGTCCATTTTGTCGTTCACAGATGCACCTCGATGAACGTCATGCGCGACAACTTTTCGATGGGCGGCAGCGTGAGCGGGGTGCGGCCACCGAGCATAATGCTGGCGGATGTGTCGCCGACGCCGTTGCGTCCGCCACTCAATTCCATTTCGCAGATGCAAATGCAGGAAATGAATGCGACCGGCAATGGCAACAACGGCAACGTCAACATCAATATCAGCATAAACAGCGCCAACGGCAATGGCGGTGGCGTCGGCGTCGGCGTAGGCGGCGGTGTTGCCGCTGGTATTGTCAGCAACAATAACAACATGAACGGCGGTGCCAACAGCAACTCGAATGTGAACACGCTGCGTGACTCGCGCACGCTGCCCGTGAGCAATCGCATCGGTTCGCGCTCGGTCAGCCAGGACTCGGTCTATACAATACTCATAAGGCTGCCGCCAGATGGCGCCAGCGGAGCGAATGGCAGCAGCGGCACAGCGGCCGGCGGCAGCACGGTGGGCAACTCGAGCGCGCATGGCGATTGTGCGCCCTCCATCAAGATGATACACGAGGATGTGTCGGCGCCAAATGCGACTATGGGCGTGGTTACTGTGCCGCCGCCCACGCGACGTCCGCTGCCGTCGAGAGACTCGGAGTTCAGTTTGCCGCTGGGCAGGCGCATGTCGCATGCACCACAGGATATGCGTCTGCTCAATGCGAAGGTTATACCCAAGCAGCTGGGCAAGGCGGGCGGCCCGAATGCGCTGCTCAATGCGCGCAATGCGGCCAAGAAGAAGAAAAAGTCACAGGAGAAGCGACAGGAATCGAAGGCGGCCAAAACCCTCTCGGCCATATTGCTGAGCTTCATCATCACGTGGACACCGTACAACATACTGGTGCTGATCAAGCCACTGACCACCTGCTCGGACTGCATACCCACCGAGCTGTGGGACTTCTTCTATGCCCTGTGTTACATTAACTCCACGATAAATCCCATGTGCTACGCCCTGTGCAATGCCTCCTTCCGTCGCACCTACATACGCATCCTCACCTGCAAGTGGCAATCGCGCAATCGCGAGGGTATGGTCAGGGGTGTTTACAACTAGAGATCCGGCAGCCGTTCCCAAAACCCAAACAAACACATTCAATTCATAATAGTTGCAATAAATGTTGTGCGCAAAATTAAAACCAAAAATGAATGAAAAATTGTTAGCAAAAGCAAAAAAACCAAAACTAGGCTTAGGTAACACTTTGACAAGCAGTACTGATTTTTGATGTCTAGCCCCCAATATATAAATATATAAATATATATATGTGTAATAACAATATCTGTGGGTTGCCCAATAAGTTTCGCATATGCCAAAGATAATACTCGCAAATCAATTTCCATTTGGACTCCATATTGGGAATCTAAATTGAACGTCAATCATTTAGAAAACTTTTCAGATATTTAAAAGCCAGATATTTGAGTGCCAGAGCATGTAAACGACATCATTCGAAGAGTTATATGCATAAAATATTATTATTATATTCTCATTAAAATAATTCCATAATAACCACAAGTAAATCTTGTGAAAATGGCGATTCAACCAGAGGCCTGTGCAAATTTTGTACCTTAAATTCTAAAGCTTATAGAGGTCAGCAAATATAATAAAATAGTCTCATGGTGATTGAACCACTTTCAAATAGCTAAAATAGGAACACAAAAAATCGCAAATTGTATCCTGCGAATATTAAACTCATTAAGAAAAAATCGAGCACTTACAGACAAATGAAATTAAATTAACTAAAGAATTCTCTTTGAGCATATAGTTTATGATGAAGGTCTTCCATTTGTAATAATCTTCCGAACCGAAAGAAAAATACAGAGCCGATTCCCGATTACATATTTCAGACATTGCAGAATAAAATCAAAATAAATTTTGGGAATTGTGCCCCTGGGCTGGAAAAAAAGAAAGAATATAACTATGGAAACTATCTAAAATCTTGTCCCAACCTTCCCCAGCAAATGCGGCATTTGGGCAACTTATTGAGCAGCCCTCGTAGCTTCTAGTTAAAGCAACCACATCACAAAGGAAACCCATTTTGTTAGGCGTTTACTTTTAGGTAGGCAAATGCTCCATGCAACAAGAATTTAATACAAATATAAAGGATTACGATTTGGAATACATTATATGAATAAATATATATACATAACATTATGTTAAATATAAAGAGAATATACCTATGGTTAAGCTTAAGTTGTTGGCGTATCCAAAAACCGAATTGAAAAGCTTTAAAACAGTTCAAACAACCGCGAGCAACGAATCGCAGGTGGCAATTTTCCAGGTGGCGATGACAGCCTGGATAATGCGTATGTCTACATTTTGTTAGCCTGGTATGTGATTATGCTGTTCGTTGTGTTTTTTTTATTTAAGTTTTGATAGTTTAGATCATCTTTTGTAAACCAAAGTTATATTTATAAGTACCAGAGGAGCGAGAAGTAGTAAAGGGAGAAGCTAACAAACATCAACTATGCGTAAACCAAGCAAGTTTGTAGTATTAAATTAAAAAACAAAAGCAAAAAAGTGACACAAGTATATGTATCTAATAAGAACGTAACCCACCATAGTTCAACTACTAAGAACAAAACTTTTGTAACTGTTGATTAAAACTTTGTAAAAAACAAAACACAAGTGAACGATATAAAACGTAAAGAACTTAAGATACAATTGCAAGTTTATCGAACAAATGACAAAAGCAATAGCAATTCAGGCACGCGTCACACCCAAGCGAGGGCAGTCGATGGCCAAGAGAGAGAAAGAGAAAGAGAGAGAGAGGTAGGGAGAAACTATCGCAAATCTGAAATATCTCTATAAACTTGAGTATTTGACTTTGGCGAAAGTTTTGCTTGGCAGCTAATAGAGAACCAACAAAGAGACCTGCGAAACAGACAACGTTACATAGATCATGTTAGAGCCATAGTTAGAAACATATAACAAAAAGGTTGTGCCGTTTAGGAAAGCATCAAAGCATATATCGTAAAACGAGCTTGTCAATCAAATGGCTGAGGGGTTTTCTTATGGGTTTCAGTGAGATTTAGCAGAGAGTACACCATCGACTGCCCCATTTGGGTTCCTCACGAAGAACTTAATTTAACAAGAACCTGTTCCGAATGCACCAACAATATAAGAATCTGCATACATATAAGCACACTCACACACATACATATATAAAAATATATATGTATTATTGAAGCATATGAGAAATAAAATACATAAAATAGCTTAAGCGAAAGACAAGCACAAAGTAAATATATACGTTACATAATGTGAGAAGCGCAATGAACAAAAGCAAAACCAAATCCTTTTTATCAATTTGTAGTTAACTAAAACAAGATACAACAAACTGGATAACCCCAACGGTGAGGTATCCGCAGCTGAAATCAAAGCAACATTTGTAGTCTCAATGGCACCACTCAAGTATATACATATACACAAATTATACTATATGTATGCATAAGATATATATATATATGTTAAAGTAAATAAACTTAAAGGCAAACCAACCAAATGAAATACCAAATAACAACAAATCCAAAAGACATGATTTACAACCACGCACACATCCAAATGAAGCATGCAGAAACGATACATATAACTACCCAAACAAGCCCCTAATAATTATATCGAATCACAAATTGTCGGAATCTGTGGAATGGTTCCAAAAACAAAAAAACCAAAAAAAAATAAAAAGTATTATGCAACCAGCGTATTTATATGAAATGAGATTTAATTGCATACAATCTAATTGTTTGGAAACATACTACGATATATGAAATAACAAATAATTAAATTTAAAAAAAAATACATATATGAATTAAAGCTAACAATAAAAAAAAAAGTGAACAAAAATAACTTGAAAACTGTATTCTTATATTAAATTTCTGTTACAACAAAATTTTGTGAGTAAAGTCCCGGTCTTAAAAATGGATTCTATCTTTTGGTGTTTGGCTGGTGCGAATGCTTTTAAAAGTAAGTACTACAAATAGGGGTCAAAATATGTTAATATAATATAGAAGCATTGTCAGAGCGTGAGAGAATCACAGGTATGTCATTGTATACCCTGAACTCATTGAAAATGCACAAAAATAGTATTGAGTATTTCTGCAAATGTATTTAACAGGCAGAAGGAAGTATCTCCGACGTCATAATGAATATATATTCTTGATCAGCATTAATAGCCGAATCGATATAGCCAAGTCCGTCTGCCTGCCCGTCTGTCCGTAGTTGGGAACTCTCGACTAGAGTCTCGACATTGTTATTAACACGCTTTATCCATAAAGATTATATTTTCTTTTATATACAATAAATATGTGAAGAGTAAAATGGAAATAAATTCCATAGATCAAATTTGAAGCATATAAAATTGCATATAAATTTATTTATTATAATTTGTATCTTAGTAAAATACAAAGAACTTAAGGAGAATTTATCTAAATAGTCAAATACCAAAAAAATAAGAATGTATAAATAAACAAAAGATAATATTTCAAGTAGATTAACTTAACTTAACTATAAAACAGCCTGCTTTGTTTTTGATAGAATACTTCAAAGTTTGAAGTTGAAACATAAAAGTACCAATTGTTTGCCATTCGATTTTTATCACAATTCAAATTAAAATGACAAGAACATTAATCCTTATAAGAAAAATTCGGTTTTCAGAAACATAAACACTGAGTAAAATGTGCGCTGATTTTTAGATTAATTATATATATAAGTTTTTAGTTAGCAAAAAATTCAAATGCTGCCCAAAGATTTTCGGTTAATAACATTTGCTCATATACGAGCTCGAGTGAATGCATTCACGCAAATATTTTTAAAGGAGCCCCTGATTCTAGTGGCGTTTCTTGGTAAAGCTGATTAGTGTGAATGATACTTAATGCTAAAAATTAAGTGTGAATGGGGCTTAATGCTGTGTAGACTCTTGTTGTTGCTGCTCTGCGGCTTCCAACGCATCTTCCACCGTATCATCCGACTGTTCGCCGTGGCCACGCATAAGCAGCTTCTCTGTGTTCTTCTGTATGCCCTCCAGTTTCTGCTGCATGAGCTCCTGGCGTCGCTGCTCGGCGCGCTGCTGCTTCTCCTCCAGCTCCTCCAATGTGAGTGGCTCCGTTTCGGCAGCCTGCTGCATCAGCTGCTGCAGTCGCTTGGGCGGCTGACGCAGCGTATCATTCAATGGAACGGCTGTTGTATTATTCTCGTCATCGAGCGGTATGGTAAACGCCTCCGAGGCCGCTATTTTAATGGGTTTTACTGATTATGAAGGGACAGTTAATTGAGGGGCCGTGACTACTTACGATATTCCTGCTTGGGCAAGGCGTCCATTTTGTTGGACTTTGCTTTTGCTGAGTCGGTCGTTGGGGCTGGCCCTGGTTTAGTCTCGTCTATGGCTGTCGTGGACTTGGAATTGGAGCAGCCCATGCTCGGCAGCTCATCAGGCGCAAGGCATTACGCTAAAACTTCCGTTACGGGCTGAGGGCTTTGGTTTCTCTGACTTTTAAGCGGAATCAGTTGAGCTCGTTGATGCTGATGCTAATGCTAATGCGATTTCCTGCTCTGCAGTGTGGCTACATCCGCTGTGATTCGTTCTACGCTGTGGCTATTCAATTTCCGCTTCGAGACAAGCTGCCAGCTCAGTCATTAGAATGAGCCTGAGACAGCGTTTAATGGCTCATTAATATTGATTTTGTTTGTGTGTTTGTGTGTGTGTTGCAGGACGACACACACCAAAAATGCGGCCGTTTGACAGCGCGTCGCAATGAGAACTGAACCTGGAATTGCAATGCAAATGTTTTGCGCTGGTCATTAATAATAATCGTTAGGGCGCAGCGAGGACAACTGTCCGCTCACACGATCAATACTCATATGCGAGCGGTATACTTATTTATTCCCATTTTGCACGTTGCCTACAAGAGAATACACTACAAGAAAAATACATATTTTATTTCTTAGACCAACAACAACGAAAAATGGTAAAATATTTATTGGCGATTACTTTTTTTTTTAATTTCAACTCGGATGAAATGCAAGACTACATTACTTATTACATTTCGATCTAGTTGTCGTGTTCAATATATATGAATGAAAATTGTCTGGGATATTTTCATATTTATTCACAAGAAAATAATGTTACTAATATAAAAATGTGACTTCTATTCAGAATATTTTATTTCCAAAACATTTCAATCCTCACAAAATTCCGAATTAGATTTAAATCTTATTGAATGCAGATTATTAAAATGATATATGATTGTCTCTATAAATATGTACTGATCATTTTTCATATTTCCTTAAATGAAGAATGCTATATTTTTGTAAATTTTATTTCTCAATTTTCTAAAGTGGCGATTACAATTTCTTAGCGTGTAGTTGCGTGGATGTGGTTAATAAAGGCAGCCAAAACAAACACAGACAGACAGTGAGAGGCACACCCACAGTCGCCTGCAAATGGACACTGGACACTGACCAATGTCAATCAACTCCAGCGCGTGGCAATAATCAACTCTAATTGCGGTTTCATTTGCACACACATAAACAAAACACACACACGCAAACACACTCGCGGGCACACATGCAACTCCGCCCGCAAAAGTTTAGTGACCCACTCAACTTTGACCAGAGGCATAAAGGGGTTTACTTTTTGATTTTTACAGTTGCCCATTGTCAATGCTGTCGCATGGCCATAAAAGTCATAGCACACTAACGGCTTCCGGCTTGAAAGCTGGCCAAGAAGCCCGCCGAGCATCCGTTCGCCCCGCGGCTGCTACGGAAGCTACGGCGCGTGCCAAGCACCGCCCAGGGCGTTCACATGCTCACTTTGTATGTGCCACACGTTGCGCCTTTGTGGTCAAGTGGCCGCTCTTGGCATGCAAATGGCTTGGAACGGAAGCGACGCCGTCGCAGCCAATTGCCAACTGCTCCTCCAAGGCACACAAATGTAAACGTTTAAGGGGAGGCCCCCAAGAACAACAACAGGTGCGCTGAAGAGGCCCGGGCCCCCACCCGAACCCCCTTTTAAGATAGCTACTGAGTAATGGGCGACGTTTAATTAGGTTAAGTGTCAATAAGATTATGTCGTCTATCAATCAATTGCACAAACACACACACGCGCACACACACAGAACCACACACATCAATCAAGCAGCTAAATACCAAAAGGCATTCTTATTTAATTTTTTTTTTCCATAGTGCTCGCTAGTAATGTAATACACATGTGTATCTATGTCAAGATATAGTCAATATATTTAGTTACTTGGGTGGGCGTACACTTTGAGTGCGCATCTCAACAGAATTGTAACTGCAAACACACTGACAACAGCTCATATACCCTGTAATTATGTGGCAAAAAAAAAAAAAACTAATATAAAACTATGTAAAAGTATTCACTGCCTCTTGCTAATGAAAAGGAATTCCCTTTATTGATAATGGTAACATAAATAATTCAATAATATGGATAGGATAGAAGAAAAACTACTTGGATTCTTGGTACAGACAACGTATTGATGTATATTGGGAAGAGATACAAAAGTTTATATTTGGTTAGTCAATTTCTTTTCCTTAATCAAAAAGCCAAAATATTTTGTTTGAATTACATATGTTTTCGATTTATTTAAAAATACAATTTAGAAACATTTTCTCAGTTTGTTGTTTTGCAAAAAAAGTGGTTTATGTGTATAATATAATAAAAACAATATAAACTATTAACAAAGCAACTTTTCATCTGCGGCTTAGGAACATTATCATCATCATCGGCATAATCATTTCCTCATCTCATTAACTTCATCTCAGCGATTCAATCTCATAGAACTTGTAAATTTTATAACTTATGCAATTATCTGCCTCCGACAGCTTGAGGCAGTTCCCGGGTAAGCTGCGAGCAGCCAGCCCGAGTTTTATATAGGTATAAAAATAGTCTATATAAATTTGATATATACGTATATAGTTATATGACTGGGTGTATATGTATGATCAGCTTTTGACCAACATTATTATAAGAGACGCGTGTATACTATGGTTAGACTTGTGTGCATATGTGAGTGTGTGAGTGAGTGTGCGTGTGTTTGGGCTTGTGTAGATGTGTGTGTATTTTGTCTTGGATTGCATGATTAGATATGGATTTATAATATTTTCAATTTGTTGTCATAAAAGCAATCTCCATTTATGCCGCTTCAGCGCATTGAAGAACGGTTAATCATATTCCTGTTTGATGGATAAAGTTTTCTCGGCACTTTTCTCAGACTTCGGATTGGCGCTGGTGACAGTTGCAGCCGCTGGCGTGGACTTGCCTTTAATGTAGCTGGCCACTGTAGAGCTCAGCGGTATGGTAACATACTGGTTGCCATCTGGAAATAGATTGATAATAATAATAATAATAATAGTCTTAGTAATAACAACAACAATAACATTACTTATATTTACATCATTTTTACTTATCCTAATTTACAAAGTGGTTTTATAGCTAGAGAAACATGTATATTGGGTAAGTTTATTCTTGACCCATAAAGTACATCCCCCTTTTATTGAGATTTTTCAAATTTGATATCTATCAAAACGTTTTAAATATAAAAATTGCCTAGCTAAATTGCTCGCAGTTCAAATGGAAACATACTTTGTTTTGCCATGATAAATAGCTACTTATATACTTAACTCTACCGTCTTCAAAAATGTTGGTTATAAGTTTATCATATATGTTTATCCTTATCCATACATATCCTACCCACCTTCTTCGGCATGCACCTGCAATTGACCCGATTGTATTAGCTGGCGCAACATGTCCGGCGGTATATTGGCAAATGAAGTGGCCGGATAAACATATTTGCTATCAGGTGCTGCTGTTGCTGCCGATGCTGCTGCTGCTGCTGCTGTTGTTGCTGCCGTGGACGTCGAGGGTCCAGTCTCAGTCTGATAGCTCAAAGCTGCTGGCATTGGTTTGCTGCAAGCGGCCGACCCTGCTGCTGCTGCTGTCTCTGCCTTGAGCTCCTGAGGCGCTGACTTGGCTGCGTCGGCATCCATCGGCATTGGCATTTCCACATCCGAAGAATCATCCGATTCGTTGCCCGACGATGTTGGCGAACGCTCATCCTGCAAGACAAGAAGAGGCAAGAGATTAGAGAGATGCAGCCAAACAGTCTGGTCTGATCTTAAGCCAAAGATGAGCTGCCTGGCTGGCTGGCCTGGTCTGGCCCGGCCTGGTCTTGCCGGGACTGTTCTATATGCCAGCCAAGTAAGAGACTGTGTGTGGTGTGTGTGTGTGTCTGGCACAAAAAAGCAATATGCTTGCACCAAATATGGCGCGAAATTGCGTATAAGTGCTGGCCGCGTTGCACGCCGGCACGCATTTCAATGAGCCAAGAGCGCAACTCGTTGCCTTAAATGTGCACACGCGTTAAAGAATTTAGAATATTGATTTCTGGCTCTGTAACCGAACGTGCAGGGGACAACTCATCATCATCCACGTTCGACATCGTTGCAGTATCGCATCATTTTAATTTTGATTAGTGTCTCAGGTAAAAATAATTGTGAACTGTAACAATGCGTTCGCCATTTTGTGGCATTGCGCATACGCAGCGTGCGCCGCCTGCAACTGCGACTGCGTCATGCCATCAACTTCCAATGAAATTGTAGCAGCGACGCGTATGGTTAAATTGCATTGTTGCCACTGCACCACACTGACCAAAATGGGCGTCGTCGTCGTCTGCCTCGTCTGTTGCAGCTGTTGTTGTTGTTGCTGTTGCTGTTGTTATTGCTGACGTCTGCCGGCCGGCCAGTGGTTTGAGCGACTGCCTTTTGAGTGACAGCATCGAGACATTTTAATTAGCAAGCAGCACAGGCAACAACAACAGCGCTGACAAAGTGTCTCTAAGTCGTGCAACTCGACTTTTGGCAGCAGCAACTGAGCAACTGTGCAACTGTTGCAACTGTTGTCACGCTCGCGGTTTTCAGTTGCAACCAAAAACAAAGGAAGATTCGCACTTGACGCGTTGCAGGTGCCACAAAGCCGAAGACCTCTGCATGCATTGCTGATCGTCTTAAGAGTTAAAAAGCGAATGAGCTTTGTGCAAATGTCTTGTAATTTTAGACACTGGGCTTAAGGAATTCGAAACTTTGCTTAAAATATTATATTTATTCAAGCTATTATTTTTGTCTTGAAATATGAACACTGATATTGATTTTTAATCCAGCAAACACTTTCTTTTCCTGCTCAAAGTCATAAATGAAAATCATACTGATTAAAAATGAATGCATAATTTTACTTAATAATTGTAATTCTTAATATTTATTATATTTTTTAATCTAATAATTTTGAATGACATTTAGTATTTTTTGCATTCAAAACGGTAGCAATATCGTATCGCAATAAATTCGTTATTGTGTAATAAAAATTCAGTTCAGACGAATAACAATAAATAAAATAGAAAATTAAACATAATATGTATTCTGTGTGTTATCTAGCATTTGCAAATTGCCTCAAAATATTTATGAGCACATAAAAAAATAAATTAACAAAAAAAATTCATTCGCCCCCGGGTGGACTCGAACCACCAACCTTTCGGTTAACAGCCGAACGCGCTAACCGATTGCGCCACGGAGGCGGTTGAAAATCTAGCGGCAAATTACACAGTTTATGCTTGGAGCACAACGCTAGGAGAAAAGCACAACTTTTATATATATGCATCTATTTATAAACTCACGATAAGCGAATGATTAGCTAAAAAATAGAGAAAAACGGAAGAATATTTATGGCGAAATTCATTTGTTATCATGTCATGTCAGACAACTTGGGGCTGGAAGAACATAAATTTGATCAAATAACAAATAGATTTTAATTTATTTCAGACTATTAAGAACTATGAAGTGTTAACGAATTATAATTTGATTAATACTTTTAACTATTGTTAACAGGCAGCATATTGTATTGTTAACAGACAGCATATTGTATTGCCAACCTCAGATTGTATATAAGTTCTAGTCTGCCCGTAAATTACACCTTTGAAAAATTTTCAAGGAATTTTGCGAATTCACAAAAAATTTAAAAGTGCTACTATTATATTTTTTGTAACTATATAATTTCGTATTTCATTTGTAGATAGAATGTGATTATCATTTGTTGTCGATATCTATTCGCAACACTTTAATATACTTGATATAACAATCTGGTGTGGGTAGGATCCATAAAGATAGATCCTTGCGCAGTAAGGACTTCTGTATAAATCTTACTTGTTGCTACTTCGACTGTGTATAAGGCAGCTACTTTTGTCTTTTCATCATTTAGTTTATCTTTTTAATATTAACCACTAATTAGCATTACATAAAAACAAAGATTTTTTCGGAGCAGCAGCTAAATCGACGAACGAAATAATAGTGAATTAATTTAAAGAAAATCACTGCAAGGACTTTGTGTCCTTCTTTGTATTCATTCGAATATATAGTGCGACAGCTAATTTTGTTGAGATACTTATTTTCCAATGTGACATACCAACTACCAAGGGCAACCCTTTGACGAACAAATCAATTTACAAAACTCAGTCCAAATACAGATGCATGCCAGGAGGAGAAGGACACGCTTCTGTCCAGTGCCAAGTGCAAGACCAGACCAGATCCAAATCGAATAGTTATCGATACGAGCGGAGCTCGCCAAATTGATAGTCGTGTGTCGTGCGCAAATGCCGAGCGTGTCTCATTAAATGACAATTAGAGTTGAGCTTGGAACTTGAAGCCGGACAGCGCAACGAGCCCAGCCCAGCCCCAGTCCCGGCCAGGCCCAGAGAGGCGAGTGGCAAGTAGCTGGCAGCAGCAGCGTGGAATGCGCGGCCAGTGGCATGCAATTTATATAAAAATAATGCAGCATTGTATTGTGTTTTGTTTGCTTTTGTTTTTATTTTTATTTTATTGTATTTTTATATAGTTTTTCTTTTTGTTGTTGTTGTTGTTGTTTTGGATTTCTCGGGCCGCTGGCCTCGACTGGAGCCTGCAACAAACGCAATTATATAGAAATTTGTCTTGCTGTGATATGTGCGGCATGTTGCAGTTGCAGTTGCAGCAGTTGTGTGGCCATCGGCAGCGCCAAAAATAGTCAATTTGGGAAAGGCTAATAATAAATGCGATCCGTCGTCTGTCAGTCACAGAGGCGAGTCAGTTCGTCAAACCAGCAAATGAGTACTCGGATCGAGTGTATATATACATATATATATATATATATACTATATATATATGAATGAATGAATGCTGCAACCAAATTGGCCAACTGACATTCACAGCCAAGGTGGCATTTTGTTGTTTTTGGAGCCAAAGTGAATGCGATTCAATTCAATTCGCTGGTGTCGTGTGACCTACACCAAGCCAATGATTGACGGATGGCACATTTGCGGATTGATTAGTTGTTTTTACCAAAATGGCCACTTCGATATGCCACACGATGGCGACGGCGACGGTGATGGCGATGGCGACAACAGTTGCAGCCTGCCGCATGTGTTGTTCCATGTTTGCCAGCTGCCTGTTGACAGTCAGCACCCGCTTAACTTCAACTTCAGCTCCAAACTTCAATTTCAGTTTGCTGTTGCTGCTGTTGCTGTTGTTGCTGCTGCTGCCCCCTTCAGCATTTTGGGCAATAAACATTTGCATTTGCATGTTGCTGTTGTTGTCGTTGTTATTGTTGCTGCTGCTGTTGCCGCTACCGTTGATGGCGTGTGCATCTACCGACACTGATAGGAGCCGCCGCAAAACAAAGGAATAGCCAAATGTGTGTGCGCCCAGTTGCGGGCTCCATTGATGCTGGCGCTTTCAATGAAAACATAAAAATAAAAATGCAAATTAAGCCCCACAACGAAAGCACTTAAATCTAACGCACAATTCCACGAGTGCAAAACCACGGCAGCCTACCACCACAGTGAAGCAAAAACAATCGGAACGAATCAAGGATTGAAAAGGCGACTCTGTGCATTAGAAGAGGGGAATCACACAGTACTAGTCACTTTTCATGCTGTATTATGAAGCGATCTTTGCTCTTATAATTTAAAAAATAATGCCAATGACAAAGATTCTGTAAAGATCCCGAGATCCCCTTGGGTTTTACTTTATTTATGACAAAAATTGGTTGTATTAAACCAAAACATTCATCGTTCATCCGGTTGGTTTTAATATCCCTCTTAAAGACCGCGCATATTTAACAAGGGATTTTTAATTAGTAGAATTTGTTGAACTACTGAATGCTTTTTACATTTGATATTTGAGAATTTGAAGGACCACTGTGTGTGTGGGTAGGCGGAATCACAACCCAAACCAATCCAAACCCAACTGAAACGAGCCAAGTGAAGCCGCGCGAAGAGTTCAACAGGAAACGTTAAGCAAATGTTATGGCCAGGCCAGGCCAAGCCGCCGGGGCTGAATCGGGCTGGTCAAAATGGGGCGGCTGGCAAACAAAGCCAAAGCCAGAGCCAGTTGACACGAAACAGCAGCAACAACAACAACAACAACAACAACAACAACTACAGCGACAACAACAAGAAGAACAACAATCAGTAGACAGAGGCAACACTGCGTAGAGAGACATTGTCAGAGTCGGAGTTTGGTTGGTTTGGTTGTGGGTTTCGTTCGGTCGCATCCGGGCCAACAACATGCACTTTAAAGCGTTTATATCCGCAAGCCTCGGCGGCTTTCTGTTTTTGGTCAAATCACAGTTTGCGGTTACACGGATTCACGCGCAAAGAAAGCGGGCAGCAGGAAGTGCTCCAATAGCTCCAAAGATGCCAACAAGAAAGTGCACATCGTGAGCGGCACAAAACCGACAAAAACATTTATTAGGCCAACTTGAAGAGCTGGACTTAAGTCTTAAGTCTTAAGTCTTGTTGCAGTTATGATGAGAATTAGCATCTATTTAAATGTCTGGCGCGCATTAAGATGCCACGATTGGGCCGCTGCCGCGAAGAGCAACGAGCTTCGGCTCTGGCTTATTGTTCTCAGCCAGCAATTATTTGGCCAAATTGTATGGGGCTCGATAGGCAACCTGCAGAGACGCTGCGACTAGGAGAACCAGGCCTAATTATGCGTGCGCCAAGACAACAGAACAAGCCAGGGACAACGACAACGACAACGACAACAACAACTACGACAACAACAACGACAACGACAACTTATCGGCTAGAAAGGCTAGAAGAGGGGCGACACATCAAAGAGGCGCAGGGAAGAGGACTAAGCGCAGTCAGATGAAACGCCACCGATTAGCCCTGGCGTTTGGCCAGGCGCCCGCTTTCCGCAAATTTATGATGGGCACTAACAACGGGCCCAGAAGCCAAATCCAGCTGAAACGAAACGAAATGAAATGAACTTGGCCGCAAACAAACAGTTGAATGGGCATTGCAATTATACCGGGCATCGAGTATCGAGTATCTGTTTTGCATTTAAACGAGTTGCTAACCACAAAACTGGCAGCTCATGTGGGTGCATTTCGCTGGTTAGCCGCCAAAGCGGCGTAACTGGCCATTACAATCTGTACACTGTACAGTGTGTACTCTGACAGCGATTAGAACCGGCGACTATTCAGTTTTGCGAATCAGTTGAATCTACATAAAGAGTTTGTGACAGGGCTTGTGTGCTAAGAGGTCGTAGCAGGTTCCAATTGTTAAGGATAAAACAGGCTAAAAAAAAAGAGGCTAGTGATTAATATGTAAGCTTAGAGTTATTAATCAACTAACTAATCCAATTCCATTAGAGTTTGATACTCAGTACATATAAGATTGAATTGATATATTTATGTAAAAATAATAATGTCTCACAATTAGGTCTTCAATCTACAAGCATTTCAGTGTCAGTTTGCATGCTGTGGCATATTTAAGTCTTAAGTCATGTAAACTAGAAATTAATCATAGTCAGAGTCTATTGTTTGGAAAAACCCTTTACATTGTAAAGATGACTAACTCAATGAAAAACCCATTTAAAACGAAAATAATTAAACTATTTTATGAGCTAAAATCAACTAACATATTTGAAGAGAGGTTAACTAAACTAAAGCTAATTAAATACATGGGACAGATATATATTTATATGTGATCAAAATATATATGTACAGCTATCTTTATTTAATTATAAATATTTATTCATTTCGGAAAAGGGTCAAGCTCTCAATTTACTTCAAGCTTATTTTAAATTGCATTTCGATAATGTCAGTTTAGATTCATATCAGATATGACAAATTAATATTTTATTTAATTATTTATTTCGCGTAATTTCCGATTTAATACAATTCAATATTAAATTCATTTTAAAATTGTATTGCCGACTACAGCTTGATGTGCTAAATGAAGTGTAAATTGGGTCTTTCTCAATATATATAATTGCAATTATTTAAAGGTTCAAGAATCAGCTCGATTAAACCGTTTGCTTAAAATAATTATTATGATGCAGTTTAGCTAAATAAATGTATTTTAGCTGAAGCTAAAAACACTTTTCTAAAACAAAGCTTGTACATGTTAATTAGTTGAAACGCCTTCAGCAAGGTGTATTGACATTTTAACAAGAACAAAATACTAGGAAACACATTTAAAAAAAAATTCAATTTGATATAAAAAAAGCCAAGCCAAGCAAACTTGATCTAATCTTGTGCTCCAACATGAGCATATTTCATAAAATCGTGATTATTTTCGAGCTACTGAACATGCTGTAAATGTAGTTTGAAAACAGCTTCATTAAAAACTTTAGAGAGGCCAACTTATGATTTTTAAGCAAACAAAAACAATATCAAAATCAATTTCTAAGCTTGACTTCTCTGCTCATTAGGCAAGTCCAGCAGCGCTTTTTAACAGATTTCATCAAATTGTGTCATTCGACAAAAATGAGCAAAAAAAATAATACAATATATATAGACTGAAAATCGCGTCTCGTGCTCACGCCCACAAAATCAAAGCTGATTTCATATTTTGTGCACGGCAAATTTCACAAAAAAATAAAGAAAAACTGGTTACACCCAGCTGAAATCAAAATCTGTATATATTTACAGACGTGATCTTATAACAAATTCGTGTAAATTAAATGCTCATATGCAACAACAAAGACAACAAACTCGCAAAAAACTCATAAATTGGCGCTCATTTGTTTGCTCATTTGTCGCGTCAGCCCCCAAACGGCCAATGTACATAAGGCCCGGCCCAAAATGGACATGTAAGCAAGTCAAAAGCGAGTCTATAAAATCTAATACGCACACACCAGCGGCCACAAGTCACGCCCACAGCTGTGGCTATATACAATATAAGCGCTGAAGTGCCTAATAAAAACTCAACTTAAGAGCGCAAGCAAAGAGCGTGGCTTGAAACATGCTAGAAAGAGAGAGAGCGCGCACGCGCACCACATGCGCCATTGCACTCCCACACAGGCAGGCAAGTTGACGATCGTGCTCTTAAAAATTGTGCAGAACCCATTTGAAACAAGTTTTTCTCAGAGAGATCGAAACGCGGACGGACTCAAGAGTCGCAACGGCTCGGATTGCGTTTTCAGTCTGTGAGCAGCTGCGTGAGCCGCACGACGATCAACGAATCAGCGAACGATCGTGCTGATCGTGCCTGAAGTTAAGTGCACGCCATAGGGAAAGACGTTAAAAGTGGCCGATCAAAATGTACGGCAAGTGTGTGACAGACCCAATGATAAAGTTGCTGTGTACAAATAATAAATCTCTAAGACTTAAGCCTAAAAGATGATCAAAGATCAGTGTTAACTACAGGTGAGTTCTATTATAAAAATTTAGGATATAGGCTATACTTATGAGCTAATTAGATATTAACTATATTTAAAAGAAAATTTATAATGCCTTGATCACGGCAATCAATTTATTTTTCTACTGTTGTGTTCAGTCTGAATTCAAATGCGCAATATTTCTATTAAACAATTGATGAAACCTTAGTTAAGTAGAAGCCTTATAGAAAACGCAAGTATTAACTGCATAAACAGTACGATCAGTTTTACCTTGTGATTGATTATGTGTGCTACAAGAAAACTTCTAGTGATCTTTTTATATAAAACAACCAGAACGGATTTCATTAAAGAGTCTATTTCTTAGAATAACCATATGGTTAAGATTGATTCGTATTATCCATAATTGATCAACCAATTTTAAGTGTCGTCTGCTTATAACAAGAAATTCTTAAAGACTGATTTGTTTTAAGGCTTGCTTTATCTTGCTTTATCGCTCCAGTTGAAAGAATTGATCGAGCTTTTACTTAAGACAACAATAATAATAAAAAACTTCGTATTATAAAGATTTTTTTTATAAAGTAAAGGTTGCAAGCAATTTATTTTCAGTTATGCAAATATAGTGGTCTTTCTATTTCTAATTCTAGTTCTCAACCGAAATTTATTTATGTGTGTTAGAGACCAAGTATAAGGCTTATATCAAATATAATTTTTATTTTATATATAATATATTACTTTCATGTGCAAGATCTCAAGAAGACTTCAACTACGCATATATTTGGGACATCTAAGTATAGTTTTGCCATATCATAGCAATTTATATATAAAATAGTATTATTTTTTATAATCTGTTGCGTTTTAATGCAACAACAGGCTGCTAACTAGCTCAGGGTCCCTGTAAACAGTAGCCCAGCACGCGGACAACTCAATCAAAGACTTGCAATCACACACAATCACCGCAGCAGCAGCAGCAGCAGCAGCAGCAGTAAGCAGTTGGTCTCAGATCTGGCTAGCTGGAGTGCAGTGGGGGATTTGGCCTTTGGTTGGCCGCCAAGTCGGCGTCCACATTTCATAAATCAGCATGTGCAGTGTGAGGGGGAGGGAGCGGGAGATCTGTGCGTTTGCCGTTTCGCTATGAAACCGCCTGCTGCGAATCCTGGCTATTTATTGTATTTTAACAACATTATAAACGAGCGTTTAAGTGGCGAGTGGCGAGTGTCGAGTGGGGCCGCATTTGATTTGTGTTAGAATGCAAAATACACCGAGACTCCAAACGGGCCAAAGACAATGCCAGGCTGCCTGCCAGAGGGAGGGGGGGGCAGACAGACAGACCGACAAAGCAGCCAATACAAACAAACAGACAGAGAGACAAACAAACAGAAAGCCGTTTCATAATCAGCCTAAAAGACGTGGCAACATGTGGCCAAACGTTGTCGTTTGGGCCGGGTCAAATGTCAAGCACATTATTTTTGTGTTTACGTATAATAAATATAAATGCATGATGCATTTTTGATAGATTTTCATGCCAATAAACAAGCTGGCTTAAACCGCTAGAATGGTGTTTTGGCCAACACTTGGCCAGATCAGACCTGGCCTGGCCAGACCAGACCAGACCCGACCAGGCTCGAGTGAGCCTCTCAGCCATTGTGTGGGTACATAAATTCAGAAAAGACATAGCACGGCAACGGGACACCAGGAAGCCTGCGTTTTTTCCATCATTTTGCCTTTTTTTTTATCGATCCGGCTCTTATAGTCGTAATTTTGTGTCTATGCAAATGTACGCGTTGTGTTCGCTTTGCATTTTTCGGGCTGATGTTGAAAAATCGACGATCAACTCTGTCAGTCCTCCAGTCCGTCAGTCAGTCAGTCAGTCATTCAGACAGTCAGTCTGCCCGTCTATCCTGTCAGCCTACTGAGCTGGCGGACCAACCACGTTGATGTGGCCAAACAATGCCTTGTTGACACTGATGGAAAATCTGCGTGTCACAAATATCAAAATTCAATCGTTAAACTATGAGAGCCTATGATCGATCCCTCTGATCCGGCAACTCCAGCTGCAGCCCAGACCAGCCCAGCCAAGACTTTGACATTCAAATTGTCTCGCAGTCAGTTTTCCGGCGCAGCTCAGAGTTATAGATCTGAACACCGATATGCTAATCCCGACGACTGCACATGCTGATGCTCTGCGTATTGAGAGTTGATCAGCCGCAGATCTTGGGAGAAAGAGGAAAGTTGCGTTTGCAACGACAAGCATTGATAGGCAGAGCACAGTTGATGATGTTAATCAGCGCTTAATCAGTAAGAAAGTGCAAAATCGGTGTAGTTAAAATATTCACTTTCTGCGATCTTTAGCCACATCTGATTTTAAATGAAAAAAAAAAAAAATGTCTTTCTCTCTTCCTGATCTTCAGTTAAAAAGTTAAAAAAATACATTTCTCTTTTTATAAAGATTTGCCATATAAATTGGCAATATTATTATTTAAAAAGTTCAAATTATAAAATATATTAGTTTTTATTTTAAGGTCAAGTCGTTTCTTATTCTGAAATTGTAGCATAGTTGACATTGGCCTTAAATAAATCGAATAGAGAATTATATTAGATTTCATCAATTTTTTTTTTTGGCTTTTTATGTGCATTAAAAAACTTAACTAAAGAATCTTTTTTTCAATATTTTTCAACAATCAAAAGGCACGAAAGCTAATTAGGAATTTATCATTATTCTTGCTAAATTACAACATAATCTTGAACTGATCATCATAAGCCAAGAAACATGCGAACAACTAAAAATAAAATAAAATATTTTATGTTATATTCGCGTAATTATAGCACTAGTTAATTTAATAAAGCAAACAAAATTCAAACAAATGAAACACATTCGAATGCAACTTAAAGTTTATGAACTTACTTAACGTCATGACTTTAAATGGCATGAAAAATGATACTAAGATCGTTTGTTATAATGTTAAGTCTTGCTGAGAAGTCAGTGATCGGAGAGCAAAACGAAATTGAATAAATTAACAGCGAATTAAATGCATGATGAAAATAGACTATAAAATGATTGATTAATTGGAAAATGCCTTAAAAGGCGAGCAGAATTATTTCTAGAGTTGGAAAACTAATACGAATAATGTTGCAACAGATTTCCTTGATGACAGTCAATAAAGAAGCATAAGAATGGACACTCAGATGCTGGGGATAAATGGAATCTTAAGCCCAAAAACTGTCATCAAATTAGAAAACACCTTTGCCTAATTGAAAACCAATTTAATGCATATAAACAATAACAAATGCAAGGCAAACAAGCGCGTATCTGCAAAGCAACATAAAAGAAAGAAAAACAGAAAATAATATTATACATATTATATAGAAAAAGGCCGAGAGTGAGCGAAAAAAAAACCAAGAAGCCAACTAAATTACTTAACAAGCCGTTGAGGCTGCGGCTGGAAGACGACGACGACGACGACGACGTCGTCTGGGATGATTTACTTGTGCGTAATAATGCAACGCCCGCAACGCTGGAACGGCAAAGACAAGCAGAGGAATGGCCACAGTCCAGAGCAGAGATGAGAGCTGGCCAGGCCGGGGAGTCCACAGAGCCTGGTCTGAAGGATGGGCCTACGCAGCGCGCACGGTAAATGCATGTGAGAAGAAGTCTAACTGGGAATGCGCCTCAATTTAAAATGCGAATTACATTATCTGATCAAATGCATTCTTTGGTGCGCTCCAGGAGGACGACTCTGCCTCTGCACACTCATTGAGTGTGTATATCTGTGTTCTCTCTGTGCGTGTGTGTGTGCGCGAGCGCATGTGTGTGTGTGTGTGTGTGGATGCTGCACAAATAAATAAATTTTAAAATACAAACAAGTAGCGCGCGCAAAAAGCGCCGAGTGGAAAATTCGTGACAGCAATTGTTGATGAGCAGCGTGTGAACAGAGCAGACCGAACGGCCCCGGTACGTATCGATATTGTAGCATAGGCCCCGGGACCAGAAGGCCCCATACAATACAACAAGAACTCAAGATCACAGCAACAACAACAACAACAACAACAATATGAATGTTTGTACAGCAGCAAAACGCGTAATATTGAGCGACTAATAGCTGAAACTTGACTTGAAAGCGAACGAAATGGCCAGCGACTCGACGGAGACACATTCGGAGACCCCGGACCCAAGAGACTGGGGCCGTACACCTCCGCAGTCTAATTAACTCCTACACACACACACACACACACACACACACACACACGCACGAGTTTTAATTAAGGCGTACATGCTTATGTTTCAATACCTATATATACATACTATATATATATCTATATATATACTCTATATTATATACAAGAATCAGATGTATATTAAGCCACAATAACAACAGCAAAACAATCAAGTTGACGAACTGAGAGTGGGCAGCTTCCAGCGCGAAATGCGCAGCGTGCTGCTAAATACAACAGCAACTAATAACTTTTTAAAATTTTATTCCGATCTTGATTACTCTACATACTGTTACTATTTAATTGCTATACTCTACTAGAACAGAACGAGCTATTGACAACAAGGATAAAGAGTTAAGTAAAGGCTTTTATAAGGAATTGAATTTTGATTTATTCTATTTTCAAGAGCCAGTTGTTTAATCCGTTCTGAGACTTAAGAAATATGGTCCCCTGGGAGCTATACAATTCGATTGTTAGTTTACATAAGATCTCGCCAAGGTTTTAGCAGCTCGTATTTAGTGTTTTTTTTTTTTTTGTCAAGATGCCTGAAAAAGTTTTGGATATATAGTGTTCATGACAACTTAAATGATATTGACTTCTGAATCTATTGACATATGTTCTGCCTGCATCAGTTTTATATACCTAATCAAAAAAGTGAGGCACGAGCCAGACAAAATGAAAGAAAGCTATATTAAATTATTAAAAAATGAGTTGTCGAGCAGCAAAAATATAAATTAAAATGAAAATCAAAATCTGCGTTATGCTAAAGCATTCTTCACACAAACAAGTTTAGTTTCATTTTTAACTTTTGATTAATTA